CCTTAAACCCTGAACCCTCAACCCTAAACCCTAAACCCTAAAACCTAAACCTCAAACCCTAAACCCTAAACCCTAAACCCTAAACCATAAACCCTCAACCCTCTAGTGATCTATAGCTTAGCCCTATCTGGGTCGACCTCGCAGTTCTCCGTCGGCGTCCTTGGCGGGGCGATGATCTCCTTAGTGAGGCCTCATTGGCTTCCCTTATTTAGGGTTTAGGGTTTAGGGTTCAGGGTCCAGGGTTTAGGGTTTCGGGTTTAGGGTTTAGGGTTTAGGGTTCAGGGTTCAGGGTTTAGGGTTCCTGTAAGAATGACTATAAGGGCTCCTTACAGGGCTCTTTAACGGCGGGATTGGCTTCTCTTTAAGGTTCCTTTTAGAATTACCAAAAGGGCTCCTTGCAGGGCTCTTTAAAAAGGGTGGTTTAGGGTTCAAGGGTCCTTGAAGGGCTACTAGAATACTATAAGTGCTCCCTACAGAAGGGCCCCCTTTGAAGCGCTCCTTAAGGGTTCCTAGAGGGTCACTTTAACTAAGGGATTCTACAGAACCTTGGGTCCATAATTTCAGCTTCAATGTTCAGCGTTTTTTGTTGGAGTCTTGCAAGGGTTCTCGGTTTCATCCGCGAAACCCTAAACCTTAGACTCTAAGTCCTAAACCCTCAATGCTAAGCTTATTCACTCATGCGTTTCGTCCTGCGCGAAAGGCACGCGGCCCAAAAGCGATGCGCCTAAACCCTAAACCCTAAACCCTAAACCCTAAACCCTAAACCCTAGACCCTAAACCCTAAACCGGTGCAAGGTGAGGCCGAAAAAGAACCCGACTCGATGCCGAACGGAGGCACCAGCCCCGAAACAGGAAACCCGCAGCGAATCCAAAGGAAAGCCAGAAAAAGAAAACCCAACAAGCCCAAAGCCAAGACTAGGGTGTAGGTTTTAGGGTTTAGGGTTTTAGGGTTTAGGGTTTTAGGGTTTAGGGTTTGAGGGTTAAGGGTTTGGGTTTTACACGGAAACCCAGCTCAACGGGCGAAGACCGACAACGCCGTGCAGGGCATAAAACGAAACTCGGGAAAGTCACCGGCGTGTGCAGTCGCCTGGGTGGGAAGCGACCAAGGCTGGCACCAGGGGTTTAGGGTTTAGGGTTTACGGTTGAGGGTTTGGGGTTTGGGGTTTAGGGTTTAGGGGTTTAGGGGTTTAGGGTTTAGGGTTTGGGGTTTAGGTTTTAGGGGTTTAGGGGTTTAGGCAGCAGGAGGCACTCCGATCAGAAAGCGACTATGCATATTTGCGCGTCTTCCGCCGCCGTCCAACGCTGCCAGGGAAGGCGTATGCGACGACACCACCTTGGCGAGAAAAAGGAAAAGGAAAACCCTATACCCTAGAGTCCAAGCGTTTGAGGATTGCGATTCAGATCCCAACAGCACGAACTTCAATCCCTTCTGGAGTCGTTCGTGTGGAGCAGCGGTGTACGGTTTAGGCCATGCAACCCAAAGCCCCGGACTGGGCGGCACATGGAACCGATGACTATTTAGACGAGTTTGTTGCCCCAGGGAAATAGGTGCTGAGGCTTCCACACATCAGCACTGGAGGGGAAACGCAGCCTCCAGAAGCGGCCCGGGGAACAAATGCCATCGTCCACTTGTCTAGTAGATTGGACATCAGAAGCGCATGCCAGCACCACCTACCATGCGTCCGGTCACAAACACACCACCATAGGTTTAAGAATTTAAGAAGAAGGCGCTCCGTCCACAACCCATGGCAAAAGGCCAGCTGAGCGAACAGTGATAACCGAGTTCCTAGCAGGAACATCAAATGGTCGAGTGCCCTGACGGTCGCATGAGAGGTACACAGGGGACCCACATCCTAAACCTAAATAGGGGCCTGCACGCTGTGTCACAGCCCAGGTCCCAAGCCCTAAACCCTAAACCCGAAACCCCAAACCCCAAGCCCCAAACCTAAACTCCAAACCCCAAGCTTCAAACCCTAAACCCTAAACCCCTAAACCCGAAGCCTTGAACCTAAACCCCAAACCCCAAGCCCTAAGCCCTAAACCTAAACCCCAACCCCAAGATCCTGCGGGAGGCGGTGGGCCTCGCACCTCATCCGCGAGCACGCGCGGGCCTTCATCAAGGCCGGGGCTCGGGCTTTAGGGGTTTTGCGGGGTTGAAGGTTTCAGGGTTTTAGGGGTTTAAGGTTTCAGGGTTTATTGGGTTTAAGGTTTCAAGGTTTTAGGGGTTTAGGGTTTTAGGGTTTGGGGTTTTACGGTTTGTGGGGTTTAGGGCTTCAGGGCCCCAGGGGTCCAGGGTTTGAGGGTTCAGGGTTTTAGAATTTGGGGTCTGGGGTTTAGGGTTTAGGGGTTTGGGTTTTAGGGTTTTGGGGTTTTGGGGTTTTGGGGTTTGGGGTCTTTGGGTTTTTGGGTTTAGGGTTTAGGGTTTGGGGTGTAGGGCTTCGGATTTAGGGCTTTAGGAGTTAGTGTTTTCGGGCCTACGGTTTAGGATTTTAGGTTTTAGGGTTTAGGGTTTTGGTTTACGGTTTTAGGGCCTCGGGTTTAGGATTTTAGGTTTTAGGGTTTAGGGTTTTAGGGTTTAGGGTTTTAGGGTTCAGGGTTAGGGTTTTTGGTTGAGGGTTTTAGGGTTTAGGGTTTTGCATCATGTACCTGACCTAACCTCTTTCTCTAACCCCCTTCGGATACCACTGGTTAGAGGTTTGAGGTTTCCGCCCGTCAGATACTATCTATCTCAGTCAGATGCCGCAGAGAAGGTTTTCAGCATAGCCGACCGCTGGCAGACCAATCTCAGCAGCTGCCATCCCATGCACTTCAACCTCCAGCCACTGCTCTTCTCACACGACCACAATGCTCGCAACAGCTGTGCCACCGCCTACGCCAAGTACAGTGCAGCACAAAGAATTCCGTTCACCTGCCCAGATCGTGTCATTGCTGCTGACGGCCAAACTCTGCCAACGGAATGCGGGCAGCCTGCACGCAGCAAGAAGCGGAAGTTCCTGCAGACGACATGTCAGTGTCTGGACGCTACAGCATCGTCCACGCCTGCCGCCACTGACCAGGACCAGCATGATCAGCGTAGAGCAGAGAATCTGCCTCGATGGACATCCCCATTAGCGGCAGTAGCATGGCCTCGTGCAGTTTCTTGCGGTGTACGGATGTGGTGGCCAACGAAACCAGCCGCACGGTGCATAAGCGGCACCTGCTTTCGGGCTCGCCGCCTCTTGCTTCTGGACAAAAGCTAGCCAGCAACAGAACAGACCGTGCTTTCGTTCTGGCCGTCTGCATCTTCGTCTCTGTGCAATCTATGTGGGTAGTTGTCAAATTATGGTCCCTTTTGGGGTACCCTAAGAAATATATTATAACAAGGACCCAAAAAGGGATCATAATTTTGACAACCACCCATGTATCTATCTATCTATCCCCCCGCCTCAGGTCCGCCCTGCCGCCGTGAGCTACCTACCCACTGTTTAGAGGTTAGAGGTTTCCGCTCCGCAGCAAGCGCCACCCGTCACCTACCCACTCTCCGTCGTCAGCTGCCCACCCTCCGCCCGTCAGCTACCTACTTTTTATTTCTATCAGGTACCCTTTGTTAGAGGTTGGAGGTTTCCGCACGTCAAATACTATCTGTCCAACCTCCGCCCGTCGCCTACCCACCCTCACGCGTCAGCAACCTCCGCCCGTCAACTACCCACCCTCCGCCCGTCAGTTACCCACCCTACTATTTATTTATCTATCTATCTATCTATCTATCTATCTATCTACCCCACCCCCCCTCGGGTCGGCCCTGCCGCCCCTCAGCAACCTCCGCCCGTCAGCTACCCGCTCCAGGATAATAGGGGTTACTCGCCGTACGCTCTGGGGGTTTAGGTTTAGGGTTTGGTTTAGGGTTCAGGGTTTGGGGTTTTGGGGTTTAGGGTTAAGGGAGGGTTTAGGGTTCAGAGTTTTAGGGTTTCAGGGTTTTAGGGCTTCGGGTTTTAGGGTTTTAGGGTTTAGGGTTCAGGGGTTTCGGTTTTCGGGTTTTGGGGTTTAGGGTTTTGGGTTGAGGGTTTCAGGGTTTAGGGTTTTGGGTTGAGGGTTTCAGGGTTTTAGGGTTTAGGGGTTCAGGCTTTAGGGTTCAGGGTACAGGGTTTGGGGTTTAGGGTTTTAAGATTTAGGGTTCGGTTTTCATTGCAAGGGTTTCCAAACTTTGGGACTTTGGGTTTTGCTTGCATTTAGGGTTCTGCTTTCGCTGCAAGGGTTTAGGGTTTAGGGGTTAGGGTTGCATTTATGTTTATGTATGGTTTTTCGAGCGCTTCGTTGTAGGTTTGTGCAGGGTTCTGCGGGGTCTGCTTTGGAAGCCGGGGTTGAAGTTCAGGGTTTAGGGTTCAGGGTTTAGGGTTTAGGGTTCAGGGTTTAGGGTTTAGGGTTCAGGGTTTAGGGATTTTGAAGGCTGTATGATCCTTGAGAATGGTTGTGCTGGTTTTGCCGGGGGTTTCACCCTAAACCCGAGACCCGAAACCCGAGAACCGTGAGCCCTAGAACCCAAATCCCAAACCTTAAAACCCTAAACCCTGGGAGTGGGGCGGGGTATTTAGTGTTTAGGATTCATTCCGAGTCTGTCGACGCTAGTGGACAGGAGATCTTGGGTCATCTGGGTAGCTCTCTAAGTTAGGCTGCCTTTCTGAGTTTCCCGAAATAGTAGGGCACTCTTATAAAAATGGACCCGGAAAGGGGCCCTAATGTACAGAACTACCCATATTGTTTTTGGACAGACTTCTTGCATTCCCTCAAACATCTTAGGTGTTTCTTTCCCCAGGATGCCTGAGAAAGCCTCATAAACCTAAACCCCGAAGCCCCAACCCTAAACCTTAAGCTCTAACCATGAACCCTGAATCCCACAAAACAAGTCCCTGAGCCCTAAACCCAATGGACGAAACCCTAAACCCTAAACCCTAAACCCTAAACCCCAACCCTTAAACCCTAAACCCTAAACCCTAAACCCTTTGAAACAAAAAAACCCAAAGGACGTTCCGAGAGAGCTGCTGAACTTCTCCTTCTCCAGCTGGTCCTTTGAGTTGGAGAGGATTGATCTCCAGGACACGCGGATTCAGGCGTTTAGGGGTTTAGGGTTTAGGCTGGGGGTGGGGTGGGGTGGGGTTTGGGGTTTAGGGTTTGGGGTTTTAGGGCTTAGGGTTTTTGGGGCTTTTAGGGCTTACAGGGTTTACGCGTCGAGGTTCCGGGTTAAGGGCACCGAGACCCTAAACCCCTTTCAGGGTGTAGGGGCTTCGGGTTTAGGGTTTAGGGCTTAGGGTTTAGGGTTTAGGGTTTAGGGTTTTAGGGTTTTGGGGGCTTAGGGAGACCCAGACCTGAAATTAAACACCCCAGTTACGGGTTTTGGGAGGTTTTGGGGCTTTCAGGGTAGGTTTTAGGGTGCAGGGTCTAGGATCTAGGATTCAGAGCTTTTTGGGGCTAGGGCTCTCAGGCTTTTCAAGCCCTAGATCACCCCATGAAAGGCTTTGAGTCTGATTTTCATACACCCTCAACTCTGAACCCTGAAGCCCAGAGGCCTTTTGACACCTTGCACAACCATGTTATAACATGTCCATTGCCGTCATGAACAGACTGAGTATGATGTAGAGGGACCCCCCCGCCTTAGGAGGGTCCCTCTAAATCATAGCTCATAGTAGTGTTTGCAGTTTAAGGTTGAACTCCAAAAGGAGCCCTAAACCGATGAGTAGCTCCTCCCTAAGCCGTAAGCGCTAAAGCCAAATAGCTTTCCCCATACAGCAGCTGGAAGCCGAACCCTAAACCCTAAACCCTAAACCCTAAACCCTAAACCCTACACCCTAAACAGTAAGCCCTGACCTTCGGTCGTCTTTACCTTAGCCCTCGGCCCGAGACCCTAAGCCACACCGAAAGCCCAAGCTGCACGCCCTCAAGCCTAAGCCCTCGACCCTAAACCCTGAGCCCTATACCCTGAAACCTCAGTAAACCCGAAACCCCAGACCCTGAGCCCTGTACCCTAAACCCTGAAACCTCAGTAAACCCTGAACCCTAAACCCTAACCCCCAAACCCTGAGCCCACTACCCTGAAACCTCAGTAAACCCTAAGCCCTGAAACCACAGCCCAAACCTTTGGTCACGACGAGCCGAAGTAGTCAGGAGCAAGCGTTGGAGCATCTTGGCGTCTTCCTCCCGCTGCAGGCGCCACAGAAATCAGAGGTAATTTTGGTTTCCTCAGAAAGTACCTCTAGGGTCCTTTTGGGGTTTGAGGTTGCGGTTCAGGTCTTGGGTCCCCGGGTGTTTTAGGAACAACTTGACAAAACTAACAAGCCGGTCATCAAAGCATCATGCGTCGCAAAGCTGCATGTAGCTTTGACGATACCCGACAGGCCCGCGGCTTTAGGGTTTAGCGTTTAGGTTTTAGGGTAGTTCTCTAAATCAGGGTCCCTTTTTAAGGTCCCCTTGCAAGGGTATGTCCCCAAAGCAATTACCTCCACCCCCCAAAAAAACCCCTAAACCCTAAACCCTAAACCCTAAACCCTAAACCCTAAACCCTAAACCCTAAACCCAACTTTTTGAACCCGAAACCCAAAACCCTAAGCCCAGTTCTTTGATAAAGCCTGAGTTGACAAGAGCCCAACCCTAAACACCAGATCTCGAGCCACGATAGGCAATCGAGCATGAAGATCCCCCCCACTGATAGCATCCAGGGTTTAGGGTTTAGGGTTTGGGGTTTAGGGTTCAGGGTGCAACTCGGAGTTTGTGGCTTGTAGAAAACTTTCGAAAGATGCTCCCGCAGCCCTCAGCCTTAACCCATAAACCCTGAAGCCCCAAACCTGCCAACTCTGAACCCCAGAGTTACTTCAAGGAAATTAATGTTGAAGCCCTAAAACATAAACCCTAAGCCCCTAACCCCTAAATCCTAACCAACTAGACGCCGGCATCTCGGAGCCAGTGAGGGCCTTGTTGACCCTCTTCGGGGACCCTAGTATAGTACCCTACATAATTAGTAGGGTCCTGATTTTAAGGAGGCACTTATTTTCGGCAACTCCCTTAGGGTTTAGGGTTAAGGGTTTAGGGTTTAAGGTTTAGGGTTTAGGGTTTAGGGTTTAGGGGCATCCAATCCCTTGAGCTCTTAGAGCCTTGAGTCTTCAACCTCAGGCCCTAAACCCTAGACTAACCCTTACTCAAGTCTTAAACCCTAAACCCTAAACCCTTACTGAAGTCTTCAACTTCACGCCCCCCCAATCCCCAAGCTTCGGAAGCCTGAGCGTACGACCCGAAGTTAGCTCCTGGAAACCCAGAGACTCCAATATTCCTTAATTCAGGAATGTACCTTAAATTATCGTAGGACCCTTAAGATGATTTAAGGTCTATTCCTTAGTTAAGGGGTCTTGGAGTCTCCGGAAACCGCAACCCCCCCTTCGAGTTTGAGCCCCACTGCCTTAAGGACGAAGTGAACCCTAAAAGGGGTTTAGGTTTTAGGGTGATTCCTAAAGGGGTTTAGGGTTTAGGGTTCCTTAAGGGCGAAATGAACCCTAAAAGGGTTTAGGGTTTAGGGTCCCTTAAGGACGAAATGATTCCTAAAAGGGTTTAGGGTTTAGGGTTCCTTAAGGACGAAATGAGCCCTGAAAGGGTTTAGGGTTTAGGGTTTAGGGTTCCTTAAGGACGAAATGAACCCTAAAAGGGTTTCAGGTTCATACACCGTATAGAGAAGGGTATAGGGCCCCTACTTACAAGGGTCATTTGGTCCCCAAGGTAAAAACACCAAAAAGATACTCTTACTCTCATCAGACCTTTATCATAAAGCCATGTTTAACAACCCTTTAACTCTACGGGAGCCTTGGTTCAAAACATCCTACAGCAACCTTCCGCATCCTATCAGGAGCCCTTATTGAAAAAGACTTATAAAATCCTGCAAATCCTGCAGGAACTCTTATTCAACCTTCGGGAACCCTAAGCCCTCAACACTCAACCCTAAACCCTAAACCCCAAACCCTAAACCTTAAAAGCCCTAGGCCCTAAACCTTAAAAGCCCTAAGCCCTAAACCTTAAAGCCCTAAACCCTAAACGCCCTAAGCCCTAAACCCTAAACCCTAAAAGCCCTAAGCCCTAAACCCTAAACCCTAAACGCCCTAAGCCCTAACCCCTAAACCCTTAAGAAAGCACCTGGTAAGTTCCGACCCTGCCAGGTCAAAGAGGCTTTTCTCGAGGATGTGGTGATCTCCCTCCGATGGGGGTCCTCGGGCAGTGTGTCCATGCAGGTGGGAGGTTTCGGAGGTTTGGGAGGTTTCGGAGGTTTCGGAGGTTTCGGAGGTTTCGGGTTTCGGGTTTGAGGTTTCGGGTTTAGGGCTTCGGGTTTGTTGGTTTAGGGCTTAGGGTTTAAGGGTTTGGGGTTTAGGGTTAGGGCTGTAGTGTAGGGTTTAGGGGTTTCGGGTTTGGGGTTTGGGGTTAATTGGTTTAGGTTTTGGGGTTTACTGTAGGCTTTCGGGGTTTCGGGTTTTTGGTTTTTTGGTTTAGGGTTTAGGGGTTTACTGTAGGGTTTCGTGGTTTCGGGTTTAGGGTCTGGGGTTTGGGGTTTAGGGGCTTGCTGTAGGGTTTAGGGGTTTCGGGTTTGGGGTTTAGGGCTTAAGGTTTAGGGTTTAGGGGTTTACTGTAGGGTTTAGGGGTTTCGGGTTTAGGGTTTGGGGTTTATTGGTTTAGGGTTTAGGGTTTAGGGGTTTACTGTAGGGTTTCGGGGTTTCAGGTTTAGGGTTCCGGGTTTAGGGCTTAGGGTTTATTGATTTACGGTTTTGGGGTTTGCTGCAGGGTTTGGGGGTTTGAGGGTTTACGATTTAGGGTTTAGGGGTTTAGGGGTTCACGGGTTTAGGGTTTAGGGGTTTAGAGTTTATGCTTCGGACATTTGTGTATAGGTCTGAAGATTTCGTGTTTTTTCCTACGGATCCTTTATACGGACAATATGCATCTGCATATCTATATGTACACACCTATAGTTTATAAACACATAACGTATTGGAACGCGACAAACCATTCCGAATTTCGATTCGTGTCCCCACATCTTAAGAGCATCGTTTGAAAGATTCCAGCTTTGCCGTTACAGTATCTTGAGTTGCCTAGGGCTTTGAGGGTGTCTAGGGTCTTTACAATGGCCTCATACGGCTCTACAGCGACTTTTTGTAGCATATGGGGATGCAACAAGGAGTCAACGGAGCCTGGTTTGTGGAATTCTTGGGGCTCGTCTTGAGGGTTTAGGGTTTAGGGGTTCGGTGTAGGGTTTACGGTGCAGGGTTTACGGGTTTCTGAGCTTAAAGCCAAAACCCTGAAAGATGCTGTTCTGATTGTCGCATATGGGCCAGGCAAGACGATGCGTCATCAAGACGGCCGTGCGCCCGTACCAGGACATCCGTGCAATATCGGAGACTGAATACTTAGTCATAGCATGCCTTGTAGCGTTCCTTGCTTGTTATATCTATGGACGTAGCACACCCCCAAACCCTAAACCCTAAAACCTATACCTTAAACCTTACACCCTAGACCCTAAACCCTAAACCCTAGGCCCCATTCCATCCGTGAAGGCCGAAATAATTACCAATACTGCTTTGCGGGTTCCTTATTATAGTTATAGTATACTACACCCCAAAACCCTATTCTAATTATTAAGCCCCTTACATTATTGGGTTTTAAGGCTTGGGGTCAACTCGGTCGACTCCCTGCATGGATATGGGTAGTTCCCTACAAGAAGGTCCTCTTCTAGATCTCCAAAAATAGTACGGCACCTTTAAAAGAAGGATCCTGCAAGGGACCCTAATTTAGAGACTTTGCCATATGCTGGTTATCAAGGGTTTGGAGTTTAATGTTTGAGGTTTAAGGTCTAGCGTTTAGGACTATGATGGATTAAGGGTTTAGGGTTTAAGGTTCGGGCAGCAAGGCGCCACGGAAGAACAGGCGCCAGCGTGCCCCTGAGCCCCTGAAGTGCAAAGCTTTGAATACCCAAGCCAAATAAGCTCTCGCTCTCTCTGTCTCTCTGTTCCTCCCTCTCTCTCTCTCTCTATGTGCATACATCCATATAATATATGTAGATCATTACATATGTTATATACATACACGCGTCTAAGACTCTCCGAACCCAAAACACGTAAACCTCCGAAGCCCACAGTAGAGGTGTTGTACTGCCAGGGTTGGAAGACGTTGTTTTTTTTTTTGGGGTTTGACGAGGGTTTCTTCAGGGTTGATTTTCTGGGTCTCTTGCTAAAAGGCCTACTGACCCTAAACCCTAAACCCTAGTAGTGCACTGCAGTATGGGTAGTTCTCTAAAATAGGGTCCTTTTTTTAGGTCCCCAATATAGTACGACACGCGTACAAAAAGGACCCTAAAGGGGACCGTAGTCTAGAGAACTACTTATTTAGGGTTTAGGGTTTAGGGTTTAGGGTTTAGGGTTTAGGGTTTAGGGTTCTGCCTTTCCCCAGCGTTCCAACATTCAGCTTTTAGAAGGGTTTCTAGTGCCATGATGTCTCTTCTTCCGCGAGAATGGTGGCTCAAGCTACCTGGCGTCCTTCGCTTTGTTTTGTGAGTTTCAAGGTTTTCATAAGACGTGCACGATGGCTGGCAATCCTCTCTCCTGCACAATCTTTGTGCCTGGTGCTCCTTAGGAACCATGTTTCATTTCATGATGCTCGAAACCCAAGGGGGTACGGGGACGTCTCTATTCGTAAGGCCCCGATGTTACTGTAAACCTTCAAAGCAACGGCAAAGTCTAACGAGAAAAGCCCCCCTTTGCAAGTATATTACAGTATAAACCCTAAACCCTAAACCTTGAACCCTAAACCCTAAACCCTAAACCCTAAACCTTAACCCTTAAACCCTGAACCCTAAACCCTAAACCCAAAGCTTCTTGTAGCCACTAAGGCCACTACACGACAGCCTGAACCCCAAATCCCTGGCAGACCCTTAAACGAACCTTTGACAGGAACCACGTGCAAGTAAAACTATGAACCTCTGCAGTATAGGAGTTTCCGAAAATAGGGGACCCCATATAGTACCCTACATAATAGGATCCTTAATATAAGGACCCCAAAATAAGGTATCCCTTATTTTCGGAAACTCCCGTATAGGTGCTGCTGGTCTCCACCACCATGGCTTTGAGGACGGATGCGGAACTGGAGCAAGATCCGTGCAGGGATTTTGACAAGAAGACAGAATCTCGGTTTAGGTCAGGGTTTAGAGTTTAGGGCTTAGTAGGGCTTCGGGCTTAGGGTTTGGGGTTTAAGGTGTAGTGATTCGACAAGAGGTCTTTCAGTGCTGGGTTTGTCAGGATTCTTTCAGGGGTTCCTTGGAGGGTTTTACAGGGCCCTAAACCCTACACCCTAAACAGGGGTTCAGGGTTTAGGTTTTAGGTCCTCCAGCAGCACCCTTTCACGTTCACTCTTTTCTTAGTGTCGGGTTGCGGAGTACTTTGGTGCCAAGCGTACCCTAAACCCTCCCACGGTTTAGGGATTAGGGTTTAAGGTTTAGGGTACACTGGCCAAGCCAGGAGTACGGTGGTGCCGGTGGTAATGCCTACGTGGTTCGCTTCACCAAGAGGTGCGGAACTATTCCTCCAGGCTCTGTGGCCAAAGCCTTCGTGGACGAAGAAATCTTCAACTCTGCGTATCATGTCCTGAACCACCTTCCCGATGTGAAGGCGTTTTCGGGTTCAGGGTTTAGATTTTTTGACGTGCTTTTTCAGGGTCTTTAACCTTTCCTGTCGTGTCCTGAACCATCTCTGAAATGTGAAGGCATTGGCTGGTCTGGTGCCCGCAAAGAAGAAATTTGATGCCTTGTGCGTCCACGTGAAGAAGACAGACGCCTGTTGCAGCACGTGGAAGGCCACACAATCACAAGACTAAACGGACAACCAAACTAAACACACAACAAAGAAAACTATTTCTTTACTTCTTCGATTTTATAAGCCCAAGACCCTGAACTCGAGTGTCTGATGTTGGGAGCACATGGAAGGCCACAAGAACTTGCCACTTTCTGGTCATGCAGGATGGTGGTGCCCCGGATGCGGATAACATGGGCCCTAAACCATAAAACCCACCCCGAAGCCATGAGTCATAAACCCTTTAAGTCCTAAACCCTAAACTCTAAGAGGCCCGAACCACGAACCGAAGTGGGTTTAGGGTTTAGGGCAGAGGTGCGAAGACATTGGAGCAATGTGTCGAGGGACGACATGCACTGCCCGCTGGCAAGCTCAAGGAGCTTATACTGTCTGCCATCAATGCCGCCCTCTCCTTCCACAAGAAAGGTTGGTACCATGGGGACTACCAGCTCAAAAACCTGATGGTGGACCACGTGTGCACCCCAAAGACCTTAAAAGTAGTCGACTTGGATGGTATGAGCAACGAGGACGGCAAATTTAGGGTTTAGGGGTTTAGGGTTTAGGGTTTAGGGTTTAGGGTTTAGGGTTTAGGGTTTAGGAGTCGACTTGGATGGTATGAGCAACGAGGACGGCCCTGCCGGCGAGGCATGGAACAAGCCGCACTTCATGCTAAAGGACTATGCGATGCTGTTTGGCAGTTGCGAATTGGGTGCCATTCCGATCGCAGAGTTCACGTACAAGTCTCCGACAGCCAAGCAGGAAGCAGATCGGATCGCTGCAGCAGTTGAACCCGTCATGAGCCCATTTTGCAACGGCGCATGGAACTCGAGCCCGGAGGACATCGTGGCGTTGGGAGGGAGGCTCAAGAGCACCGTCGAAGCTCTGAGCTAAGCTGTGCATTTTACATCACTTCCCTTGTCTGGCAATCGAGCAGCACCGAGCGGGAGTCCAAAAACTAGAAGTGCGAAGACTATGTCGCGGGTTTTTGGGGTTTAGGCTTTAGGATGGAAGTCTGAAGAATTGCTACTACGAGTCCTTCGGGCTCCTTCTTTCTCTGATACGCAAAGTATACCGTGAATACCAAAACCCGACTCTGCTTCTGCAGCCCCTTATCCGGGTCGGTGGCTACTTCCTACATATGGGTAGTTTTCTAGATTAGGGTCCCTTTTTAGATCCCCAATATATTACGGCACCCTTATAAAAAGGACCCTAAAAGGGCCCATCATTTTGATCAACCCCCATATATCTACATACAAATCCAGATACGATACCCCGTGAAGAAGAAATGCTGTTTGTTTTCGTTGCCAGGAGCAGGTTGTTGAAGAACAAGATCTCTTGATGGACATCCTAAGTCCCAATCCTAAACCTTCAACCCTGAATAATACAACGCTAAACCCTAGTTTCACACTATCTTATGTTGCCGTCATGATGTATGCCACGGCGCCCCCAACTAGCCCGATACCCCCAATGATTTGAATAGGTTTTGGGGTAGGTTATCGCGCCAAAGTCTTACGATGTCTTACTAACTAGTCCTAGAACCATTCAAGACCCTATGAAAACGTCTTCATGCGTGCAGAGGCTACCAGCACTAGAGATCAAAAAAAAACCTCCTATAGAAACTTTGAAGAAGCCCCACGAAATCCTTTTGAAACCCCAAACCCTTAAACCCTAAACCCTAAACCCTAAACCCTAAACCCTAAACCCTAAACCCTAAACCCTAAACCTTCGACCCTAGGCAGAAGCCCGAAGAGCTTTTTACAACTGTAAACCCTAAGCCTAAGACCCTAAACATAAGCCCCAAGAGCCTTTTACAAGCCTAAACCCTAAACCCTAAACCCTAAACCCTAAACCCTAAACCCTAAACCCTAAACCTTAGACCCTAAACAGAAGCCCTATAAGGGAGCAGAGATCAGGGCAGCAAGTTGGGGTTTCAGGGCCAGTGCTGGGTAGCTTGAGAGTTGAAGATGCGCGCGAAGCTCGGAGCTGCAAAAGAGGTGAGTTAGGGTTTAGGGTTTAGGGTTTAGGGTTTAGGGTTTAGGGATTAGGGTTTAGGGTTTAGGGTATTAGGGTTTAGAGTTTAGGGTTTAGGGGTTTAGGGTTTAGGGTATTAGCGTTGAGGATTTAGGGTCTAGGGTTTTGAGGCTTTAGGGGATTTTCAGAAGTCGTACGAGTCTTATAACAATACGGCCTGCGGTAGAGAGGCCTGGCGAATGAGTCGTTGATGATCGGTCTGGCTTTGTTGGTGCTTTCTCCTGGTTTAGGGCCTGGGGTTCAGAGTGTCGGATTTAGGGTTCAGGGTTTAGGATAAACCATGACCCTTAATCCTTAATCACCAACTAAAGCCTCAAAGTCTCAAAAGGCCTCAAAGCCTTATAGTTATAGAGTCCTGAGGGAGCTTCCAACGAACAAAATTAAGGAACCCTTCATGCAGCGGTAACACGTCAAGCCCGAAAGCCTAAACCACGCTAAATTTTCCTAAACCCTATACCGATACCTGAAACCCTAAACCCCGAACCCTAAATCCTAAACCTAAACCCCAAAAACCTAAACCCTAAACCCTAAACCCTAAACCCTAAACCCTAAACCCTAAACCCTAAACCCCAAAAGAGAAGCCCGTATCTCCAAAACCTTCATGCGAACCTTCGTCGGCTGAGCATTGCCAGGATTGGACTCCAAACCCTGTACCTGAAGCCCAAAACCCTAAACCCAAGAGAGGAGCACGTATCTCCAAAAGCCCTAAACCCTAAACCCTAAACCCTAGACCCTAAACCCTAAACCCTAAACCCTAAACCCTAAACCCTAAACCCTAAACCGCTGAGCATTGCCAGGATTGGATTGAGACTTGGCGCGCAGCCGCTCTGATGCATCGGGGGCTCGGGCATCCCGAGACCTAAGCCTTCAAGGTTCGGTTTGGGGTTTAGGGTTTAGGGTTTAGGGTTTAGGGTTTAGGGTTTAGGGTTTAGGGTTTGGGGTTTAGGGTTTAGGGTTTGGGGCTGGGGGTTTAGGGTTCGGTGTCTCATACAGATTTAAGTGCATTTTGCAGCTTTTGCTTTTTAGAGACGTTTTTTTAGGGTTTGTTCGAAATACGGGCTTCTGAGTATTTCGCAACAGAACGTATTAGGGCTCCCTGAGTACTGAAGCCCCCAAACTAAACCTCCAATCGGAACAGGAAGGAGCTCCCTCGTCAGAGTCCCTAACCCCTAAATAGTAAGCTGTAAGCCCTAAGAAGTCAGCCCTAAGCCCTAGGCCCTAAGCCCGAAATCCTAAGCCCGAAGCCCTGCGCCCTAAACCCTAAGCATTTAAGCCCCAAGCCCCTAAACCCTAACCAAAGCCCTAATCCCTAAGCCCCAAGACCTTAGACCCTAAGCCCTAAACCCTAAGCCTTAAGCCCTAATCCCTAAGCGCCAAAACCCTAGACCTTAAGCCCTGAACCCTAAACCCTAAACACCTAAACCCCTAAACACCTAAACCCCTAAACCCCAACAAAAGCCGAAACCCCACGAAGCTCCACAAACCCTAAACCGTAATCCTTAAAAACCCTAAACCCCAAACGCTTAACCCTGGACCCTAAACCCTAAACCCCAAACCCCAAGAAGCCTCAAATCCCAAAGCCCCAGCCTGAAACGACGCGACTTTCGGCCGCCCCCAGCTCGGACGCCTTGAACCCTCACATCCCGAACAAGTCATCTACGGATTCCTTAGGGGTTTCAGCAGTTTTGGGGTTTAGGGTTTAGGGTTTAGGGCTTAGGGTTTAGGGTTTAGGGTTTAGGGTGTTTCAAGGCTTGGGGTTTAAGGTTCAGGGTTAAGGGGCATGGTGCTTAAGAGGTTTATGGTTCGGTGGCTTCTGCGTTTAGGTTTTTGTGGTTGTGAGGCCGACAGGTTGACGACCCTACATCTGGATCTGATGTGGTAAGGCCAGGTCAGACAACCCCCTGAACCTAAAACCCTACGCCCCCAAACCCAAAACCCTAAACCCCAAACCCTAAACCCCAAACCCTAAACCCCAAACCCCAAACCCCAAACCCTAAACCCGAAACCTTAAACCTTAAACCCCAAACCCTAACACTTAAACCCCAAACCCTAAACCCCAAACCCTAAACTTAAACGCCAAACCCTAAACCCTGAACCCTAAACCCTAAACCCTAAACCCTAAACCCTAAACCCTAAACCCTAAACCCTCCAGAGACTCATACCAACGCAGCCACAAGGCGCCGGACCTATCCGGTCGGGATGCAGCCAAGAGATTCAAGGCGGGTTTAGGGTTTAGGGTTTAGGTCCCCTAGAGCGTGCGAAAAGGGTTTAGGGTTTAGGGTTTAGGTTTAGGGTTGAGGGTTTAGGGTTTAGGGTTTCGTTCCTTTAAAGGGTGCCAAGAGGGTTATACCAATACTGGAGTGGGTCCATAAGGGTCACTATTGGGGTTCTACTACGTAGGTGCCTTAATGATTCGACTAGGGTTTAGGGCTACAGTACAGGGGCCGTCAGAATCAGAAGGGTTCTATATATTAAGGGTTAGCATACGGGTGCTTGGATTCAAGGCTATGGGGGCGTTTGCTTTGGGTGAGGCTTGAGGGACTTTCGGTTTCAGTAGGTATCTTACTGCTTTCAAGGTTTAGGTTTCGTGCGTGTTTGCAGAGTCGCCGGGATTGGGATCGCACTAAACCCTAAACCCTAAACCCCTAAACCCTCTTCAGGGCTTTGAGCTTCGGAGACTAAGTCTAAAAAATTGGAGGCTTGGGTTTAGGGTTTACGATTTTAGATCTTGTTGTCTAGTCTTTCGTGGCCTTTAGTTCATTCTGTTTGGGTCTGGCTCTGGAGGGTGTGGAAGCCCCACGTTGAATAAATCCCATGTGACCCTAAACCTCAAGACTTGAAGCCCCAAACCTACTCTACCTGAAGCCCAAAACCCCACTATGAACCCGAAGGGTTTAGGGTTAATTTTAGGGTTTAGGGTTTAGGGAACCCTAAACCCTAAACCCTATAACCTAAACCCTAAACCCTAAACCCTAAATCCGTAGCCCACTACACACGCCCAGCCCGAATCGACAGGCGGCCGCCCTGCGAGAACACGAGGAGGAGGCCTCGCTACAAGGGGCTACGGCGAGGGGTGGATGGCCACTTATATGGGGGTTTCCGCAAAATGCGGTACCTTATTTTGGGGTCCTTATAATAAGGAGCCAATATATTTGGGGTACTATATAAGGGTCCCCTATTTTCGGAAACTCCCCTTTGGGTGGTTGTCAAGGTCAGGGTCCCTTTTTGGGTCCTTATTTTAATACGGCACCTATTATTTAGGATACCCCAAAAGGGGCCGTAGTGTTGACAACTACCCATATAGGGGCCTACATGATTACCTGTACTCTTTTGGGGGCTCCTTATAATAATTATGGTATAATGGACCCAAAACCCTATTCTTATTATGATGGCTAGTGTGCGGCAGTGTTTGGGATTTGGTGGTGGGTCGAGACCTGTAATTCTATGTTGTTTACACGCCAAGACGATTCTATAGGTTTATACACCCTCAACCCTAAACCCTAAACCCTAGACCCTAAACCCTGAAACCCGAAACTTTAAACCGCTTTACTGACCCTTTGGAACGCTGATGGATCCCCTAAACAACGGAACCCCAAAGAGCAATCCTAAACGGAACCCTTAAAGGAAGCCGTAGAAGGAACCTTCAAAGGATCCCTAAGCCCTAAACCCTGAACCCTAAACCCTAAACCGATAGATAGATACAGCGAATTCGACAGCTAGCTCGCCATGCCGAAATGCGTGAAGGACGAGACTCCCTCATCTTCGGCAGCAGAGGCCCCGTCGACCTCCCCCGAACCGAAGGCCGCGAACCGCGCCCGAGCCAGCGGCAGAGGCATCGCCTTTCCTGATGCGCCCCTGGCTGGTCACCCAGCACCTGGGGCCGGATCCGGCGCGCTTCCGCCCGTGGGAGATCCCTCCGCCTCCAGAGGCGGTGGCTTTGCCACCACACGTCCCTCGTCCACGCTGGAGGGTACGATGATGTGTTGCTGCAGGTAACGAGAAGAGTGTCTCTGGGTGGCTTTAGTGCTGCAGATCGTGAGCGCAGTCGTAGCCGTGACCAACCTCCAGTGAGTTCGAGTGAGCCAGTGAGTGAGTCCGAAGGTAATGATGTCGTAGGTTAGTGTCATTCCGTGTCCGTTGTGCTTGAGATGGGGATAGCATGCTTGGCTGGGGAAGCTGGATGGCGGTAAGTGCCTCCCTTGTTACCTTGGCCCGTGCCTTTGGGCAATGTCCTTTTTAGTGTAGGCCTCATATGAGGCAGGCTTGCTCGCACAGAAAAGGCCACAGCACTTTAACAAAAAAAACCCTAAACCAAAAAACCTTGAACCCTAAACCCTAAACTCTAAACCCTGAACCCTAAACCCTAAATCCTGAACCCTAAACCCAGACCCTGTGAACCCTAAGCACCAAAAGGATCCCGAAACCCTGAACCCTAATGATTTCCTGCCTTTTTGACCCTTTTTCAGCTTTCTGCCAGGTCTTGGCGCTGGCCCGGCGGCAGCTCGGGCACGCGGGGGCCTTGATCTCCGCCTGCTGCTCTCTTGTGTTTTTTTGATGTTTGTTTTTCAATGTCTTTTTATAAAGTGCTATTTGTTTTCTAACATGGGAGAGTTGGGGGTTTAGGGATTTAGGGGTGTAGGCATTTAGGGGTTTAGGGGTTTTAACGGTTTAGGGGATTAAGGGTGTCGATCTTGAACCTCCATAGAATTAAAATCTTTACAAAATCCCTTGTGCAACGCGTACTCTAAGAAGGCATACAGAAGTCGAGCCAAAATTGTTGACACGAAACCCGAGTCTTCGTCGTCTTATCAGTCGCAGAAAGTAAACAACCATAGCAATAGCAGCAAGAGGAGTATGAATCATAATTCAGAATACAGCAAAGCCTAGAAAGTTGGAACATGGATTTAGGATGACTTGTGCTAGGATCCCTTATGCTGTACCTTACAGGCACGAGGATTATGATGCTCCAACTTTATGGCGTCCACCATCATAAGTCTTCTTGCCAGTGCCAAGCCATACACAACACCCCTGAACCTCCCACAGCGCCCCTTAGATGCCTTAAACTCCCCAATTTCGCGAAGCGCTACAACCGCCCTAAGTGCCCTAATAACCCCCTAAACCCAAAACCCTTAAACCCTAAACCCTAAACCCTAAACCCTAAACCCCTAAACCCCTAAACCCTAAACCCAAAACCCTGAAACCCTAAACCCTACGCCCCACACCCTAAACCCTACACCCTAAACCCTAACCCTCTACACCCTAAACCCTGAACCCTACACCCGATGAGCCTCAAAAGCAGTTGCTGCTTGCAAGGAGCCAAAGGGGCAGGGCTCCGCGCTGTTCATGCCGGATCTCGAGATCACTCTGGGTACAGGCCCTCTAATAAAGGGATGTAGGGTTTAGGGATGTAGGGGTTTAGGGATTTAGGGTTTTTGGATTTAGGGTCTAGGGTTTAGGGTTTTTTGAATTTAGGGTTTAGGGTTTAGGGTTTGAGATATTCTTTACAGGTTCTTCAACTCAAGGCTTGTACTTATTGGGTTTTCTAAGCGGTTTTACAGGGGTCCCAAAACGGTTGTAAAAGGGTTCGAGTCTAGGACATTTTCAGGTGGGTAGTTACCTCTATAGGAGCCGTATAGAAGGTCTATATACCTTATGGAAGCCTTATAGAAGCCCTATCTACCCTAAACTCCCCACCTGTAGTTTCCTTTAATCGAGAAGGGTTCTACAAGGGTTCTGTTCGGGCTCGATAAGTGTCCGAGAAGGGTCTGGGGGTGTTTAGTAGGGGCCAGAAAAAACCAAACCCTAAACCTTAAACCCTAAACCCTTAACCCTAAACCCTAAACCCTGAACCCTAAACACCACCCAACAAAAGAGACTTCCCAATTTTTGATTATAAGCTGAGTTATAATGTTTCAGGATCATGGTGCTAAGTTTAGGGTATTCGTGGTTCAGCAGACGGTTTAGGCTTGAGGACCTAAATCCTCAAACCAGGAACTTTTGGGTTTCGTTTTTTTCGATTTCGGGGCTGGGCTTGGGGCTTTCCGGTGAGGGTCTATGATGCTATAGTTCCGACCCTAAACCCCAAACCCTAAGATTTAGTGAATCCTGAACCCGTAGAGAACCCATGTAGGGTGTATGTTTTTTCATGTAGGAGGTTCGTCAACGATGCGTAGGGCTTTGGCTCCAGGGTTTAGGGTTTAGGTCTTAGGGTTTAGGGGTACCTTGGCTTCGAGGACCGTATCAGTGTTCAAGCGGAAGGGTGTGGGGATTGGGATTTAGGGTCCACAAATCCGACACAGCCGCAACCTCGGAGGCCCTAAACCCTAAACCCTAAACCCGCAACCCTGGATCCTACGCCCCAAGCCCCACGCCCTAGACACCCTAAACCTGAAACTTTTGAACTTTTCAATGTTTAGACAACCCCTGCCCTCAAGAAGTTCAGTCCCAGTAGCCCCCCCAATGGCTCTTATGACACCCCTACACATCTGGAAGGTGACTACTACTACTACTACTACTACTACTACTACTACTAAGCGTCTCGGCTCGCAAACGTGTAGTCCCCCTTTTCGTGGTTTCTGGGTGTTTGGAGGCTCCTGTCCCCCTTTCTTGGTTTTGCCTGCCGGTTTTTCTTCTTGGGGCTCGGGGCCTGTTCGTACAGGGCTTAGTATGCAAGCATGGTCCCTGCTCAGCCT